ACTATATTTTTCTATTTAAATCCAACTAAAGTTTGTTATATGTGAATAGCAGTGAATAATATCTTATTTTATTATTTTATTATTAATAAAAAGTAATTTAAAAATAATTGTTGTGAAACAAATTTGGACATTATTAATATGTACCAAAATCAATTAAATTATATATTTCTAGCACGCGAAATTATTGGTAATTTTATTCGAAATTAATTGGCAATATCGTACACACATATATATATATATATATATATATATACGCAATAATTCTGGCAAGTTACATTTTCTGATTAAGTTATGAAATAGCTGAAAAAATAACTTTTGTACGCAATTCTCCCGTTGATTAATAAGCATTAATTAAGGACGGTCACTTAATAGTGTCCTTATAACTTAGTCCCTATAACTTTCGGGATTAATGTGGCCTTTCAGTGCAGGCATCGGAATTAGTTGTTTGATTGATATCGATCGCGAAAGGACTTTTGGGGAACGATGAGCGCATTGATCATCTCAGCGACCTGCCCTGCCGGGCAAGAAATGACTGGAACTTTAGATCTCCCACGGGATCACGCGGCTGGTATGTACACAGAGCGAATTGGGTCGGGGGAGAAATTTCAGGCCCGGAGATTTCGCCCTGTATTAATACCCGCGGGGCAAGAAATTGCAAACAAGATCTCCGCGCCGGCACGTGAAATTAATCCTTCGCATGCAACAGTTGAGGCATCGTTGCGCATAATAGCACTGGCGTCCCGTTTAAAATTACGATAGAAACGACTCGTGGGCGCGTGCAAAGATTAAATCGGGCCCGCGATATTCCGCCCGCGCACGCGACTGCTCAGAGACAAGCACGCGAACATTTATGAGAGACAAAACGTTTGATTGCCGTACGATATCTTGGAAGCAAATGTAGTCAGAAATGATGGATTCACTCTACGAAAAAGAGAGTGTGATATAAGCGAAAGCATTCTGAGAAAAGTAAAGTAGAAAATTTTAATGTATTTTATATGTTATAAAATAAAACACACACACACACACATAAACATGTTATATAAAATAGTTTTCCAAAAATGGATAGATTAATCGTTTATATGTATAATAAATTTTTAAAATAAAATTGTATGCTGCATATATAAAATTTATTAATCTATTCAAATTTTTACTTTTCTTTTTAAGTCAATTCAGAGTTAAATCGAATCAGTCGTTGATTTATATATTTGTGTAACCATTATCTGTCGTTAACACATCAGTGATCCATTGTAACTCAATATATCGTTAATTGGATATCAGGTTGAATTCACCAATGCAGCGTGTACAACGACGAAGCGTAATCCAAGATAACAAGGGGAAAGGTTGAACGATAATCGCCATTGCGAAGTAGAAACTGCCGGTCAGTGTCAGACATGCTGCGAAGATCGTTCATTGCTGTATAGCCGTTGCCCAAATGGGAAGCCAAGAGGAAAGAACGAAACGAAAAGGAAAAGTTTAAACCAGAAAGAGAGCGGATGGAGAAACGCGGGGCGCGGATGCGGAGGAGGATCCGCGATTTTCTTCCAAACGACTACCTTTCGATTCCATCGGAGTTACACGAGCCACTGGATTCCGATCCGCTGGCCTCTATCTCGTTCTGTCTCCTTTTCAGCGTGGGTCCGGCTCTCTTGATTGCCGCAACAAAATCAATGCTCGAGAGAACGACGAGGGGAAACGTGATGAACGGGTGTGTGCACGCTTCGTTGCATTTCGCGTAAATCGTTCGCACAAGAGAGCCAGGCGAAATTTGAAGCTCGCTGGTTAGGAATTACTGGTTAGTGCGAGCTAACCATTTCCCACATGATTTCCTGCACGACAAATACTCTAACTCGTTAGAGCACAATGCGTTTGCAGGATTTTGTTTACAATTTTTATTTAATTTAATACTCTTTAGTAGTACATGAAAATATTTATATCTTTAAAAAAATGATATTAAATATTTATTCTTGAAAAATACAGAAATTTTATTTTATTATGCATACAACATTTTCGTGATGTTACTCTTTTATTATATAAATTTAGTTACGATTGAAAACGTTAAAATTGTTGTTAAGAGCTGAAGCCCGCGAAAGTAATATTTCTTATAATATAAGAAACACAATGGTCCTCAGATAGTAACGATATAGAAAATAATATGGGGAGGTTTTATCATGGGAGAATGTAGGGCGAAGAGAGGATTCGTTGTTACGAATGGCGCTACTGATAACGCCCGTACGGCACGGCGCGTTTCGAACTTTAATCGTAGTTTACAGCCGACTCGCTTGTGCTCCAGTTTCACTTAGTTTCGTGTAATGCGCAAAATTGCAACTTCATCGCGTGGGACATTCTCGCGAAAAGAAAATGTTTCCGCGAAAAATGAATAATTTAAAGAACGTTTATTTTGTATTGATTATTTTTATACAGTATATATGCTTCATCATGTGCAATGTGAGAGTAAAATAACGAACTGAAAATTAAATTCTATTAAACGCTGAATTATTAATTCTAAAATTAGATTATACACTACGTAATTTATACAATAGCTCATGGATTATAGATTTGTTTGCAATTGCAGGTTGATTGATTCATTAATCGTTAAGTGTAATGTATGTATCGAGTTATGTATATATATATATATATATATATATATATATATATATATATATAT